TGCAGCGTCGGCGCTGATGCCTCCTGCGGTGGCCCGGCAGGGAAGATGGCGCCGTCCCACGTCCTCAAGTGTTGCCAGAAGGTGTTGGCTTGGGTGCCCGTGGCCTTCATCGCCCTGGTCGTGGCCTGGTCCTACTACGCCTACGTGGTGGAGCTGTGTGTGTGTGAGTGGACGGGGAGGGTCGCGGGCGCCGGGAGCTGTCGGCCGGGCGGGCGGGGAGAACCCCTCATCACCCCGCTCCTCCCCAGCGCCCTGGCGGGGTTTCCCTTCCCTTCGCCCGCCTCGGGCTTTCTTTCAGGCGGGCAAGTGAGACCCCCCACCCGGGCGCTCCCGCCGGCGCCGGGTTTACCTGTTGTCCCCCCGCCTCAGGCGCCCTCCCGGGGCCGCGGGCGAGGACGGCGGGAGCCCGACCGCAGGCTCTGCATGGCGGTGGGGTCCTGGCCCGGGGTCGCCTGTGGAGAAGCGAGAGACGGGGACGGGGGAGAGGCGGCCCAGGCGGGGGTCCGGGGTGCTTGGTTTGGGGACAGGACTCTCAGGGAGGTGATGAGGAGCAGGGACCTCCGAGAGCTCCGGACAGCCCTTGTGGGGTCTCTGCCCCTCACGTCTCCCAGATAAGTTTTCCCTCTCTATGTTTCTGTTGCTAGTCCGCCTTCCTGATGTATCACATAACCCCTTGACCACCTTATGGTTGTATTCCGCTCCCCCCTCCCCCCAGTGAAGAAGCCCAGTGTCATTGAAGCATAATGAAGCTGAAAACATCCCGCTTAAGCAGGCAGGGGAAAGGATTTAAGGCTTATGGGGTTTTGTCAGGCCGTGTCAAGGCTTTCTTGGATGAGGGCTCAGCGTTATGTAAATCTGACTTGCAGACGGTGTCGGTCAGGATGATACCTCCCCATTTCTGTTTTCAGGAGGAAACTTCAGGAGAATGTTGGTTTTCTCGAGGCAGGGTAGATGGAGCAGCATAGTGATACACAGCATTTGCCAGACTTTGTAAAACTTGGAGGCAGCATAGGAAAATGAAGGAATGCGTTACTGTTTGGCATGTTTAAGTAAGGAAACTGAAATGAAAAAAAAAAACAAACCCAAAAGTATGAAGAACTGTTTTAAGATACATATAGGTCTACCGTGTGTGTGTGTAGGTCCTTGTACTTCTTGCTATTTGTATAAAATACGTACTTCGATATCCCTAGCTAAAAATAAATGGCTTGCATATACTTTAAATTAAGGCAAACATCTAAAGGCATCCTTCCATTTTTATTTTTTTTTTTTCTGCAGGACTTCGGGTTTTGTATAACTTTTCTGAATGCCCATGGTATTTCACAGCCTCTTGTGTTAGCTTTATATATGTGGAGTGGAATATAAACCAAAAGCAAAAAAGCTGTTTGGACTTAAAGTAGTAGAAATATAGTTGTAAAATAACACTTGTTGAGATACTACATGAAATGTTGACATGAGTTGCAAATATGTCAGTGTATCCAAATTTGCCTGACTACTATGGTTTAGTTGTCTGTTGGTGTGAGTAAATAGTAATGATTTTCTTGGAAAGTCATGCTTAAAACTATAAACACTTGGAATCAATTTTTAGGCGGTCTTTAATACTGGAAGTCTGGGGCGTGGGTAGTTGTTACAGTGGTCCTGAGAGGGACCGTGTGAGGTTATAGACTCACGTTTTACAGGCATGACATTAAGGTTTTCTGTACTCATTACAGTCTGATTGGTATTGCAAAAGGCATATTAGGGCTATGCGTTTCTACTCTCTTTTAGTTCTTAGTTTAAGAGATTTGCCGAGTGTTGCACAGGTGGTCCCTGGCTGAACTGGGAACAACCTCGACCTCCCAAGTCCCAGCTCTGTGTCTTGATCACAGAGTGGGTCCAGACTGAGTGCTGGTGAATAATTTCTCTTTCACAGGCATAGAAAAGCTCTGAAGAGCTCTTCTGAGTTCATTAGGGTTTAATTTGTGTGGAAATTATTGAAAGGGTTGGCTCCTGTTTATGCAAGAACTTTTGCATCTATAAATCTGGTTTCTAGACGTCTGGCAATTTTTGCTCACAAATGAGCTTTATTCTTAATGTCTGCACATACAGACTAAGAAAAAGTGGTCATTTAATAAGAAAATTACTTACTGGTTTTTATTGCTGTTGCTGAATCTTACAGTTACCTGTCTAAATCATACTTGGTGACAAAGGATTTTATTTTTCTGTGTTTTTTCTGTTGTGGGTTTTGGGTTTGTTTGTTTTTAATCTGTTAAATTTTGTTTACACTCTTGATAAAGGCCATCTCATCAAGGGAAAAGAAAGAGGTTTTGTATTTGGGTTTTTTTAGCGTGTTTTGTTTGTTTGTTTTTTTTCCTTTGTGTGCTTTGCTTTTACACTGCAGTTGAGTTCAAACCAGCATAGAGACCATTTATAGCAAAATACAGAATTTTCTGTTTCTCTTGGCAGGTATGTATACTTTCGCCCAGTGCTCCGTATGTTTTATTTTGGTTTGAGAACCACTGCACTATGTACTATGAAAAAGAGCAAGGATGTGCCTTTAGCACACAGCTAATGAATGAGGTGACGCTGGTCTCCACAGATGTTCACATACAGCAGGTGCAGAAGCAGGACGTATGGCTTGTTGCACTTTGTGGCTTTGGCAAAGGACACAATATGCAGCTGATGCGTGCCTGGGTAAAGACAGATGGAGGAAGGGAAGCTTTAGAAAAGAAGAGACACAATAAAAAACTTTGAGTAAATGCTAAGACTAAGCAAGAAATTGAAACCCTACAGACACCAATTTTTTTTAAAGTTTATTCTTAAAGATTAGGTAACTGTTAAGATATGAGGCTAACAAGGAAACAGGAAGAGAGAAAGCCATCATTGCCCCAGCTATTTCTTCCTGATTTTTTTTTTTCTCCTTGTAGTTCCTGCTCACGTATTAAAGGTTAAGCAAACGTATTCAGTTAGTAGATCAAGTGGGAAGCCAAGCTTAAAAGTAGAAGATGGTAAAGTTGGGACTGCTGCTTTCATCACCCTTTCTCTTTCAGTTTTGCTTCTCTGTGCTGCTTTCCCCACCCTCCTCTGCTGGGGTGCTCACATATTGCTCAATGTCTTGCTTTTGGTGTCTGACTCAGCCTTACTCTGTAATTCACTGCTAGTATGTATTTACATGGTTATGCCTCTTCTGTAACCCTAAATTATATTACTTACACACTGGCTGAGAACACTGAAGAGGGCTGGTGTGGATAAGATGAAAGGGGATTCATGAGCCAGTCTATTGTTTTCCTCCCATAGAAACTGCCAGCATAGTTGTTTTTCTCCGAAGCATTGCTGTTGTATGCTGGTGAACAGTGGCTTGTTTAGATCACTGTTGCTGTGTAGTTGTGATCCATCAGGTAGATTAGCTACTAAGCTAATTGGACAGATGAAAACAGACCTTTCTGACCAAGTATGTAGAAGTTGAGGGAATGTCAGCAGAGTGAAAAAAACCTGTGAACGCATGTAACTGAAGGAACTGCAGAAGACTCCAAACAACATCTCATTCAGTTTTTTTAAAAAATGTTTTAAAGTAGAAAAACGTGAATGAACACTTTGGTACTAGATTACTTCTTTTCACATGTAACTTGCCCAGACCTCTGTTTGCAAGCACACCTGAAAGTACATAAGCGATATTGTAAAATAGCTTTTCATTAGTTTAAAACCATTTTGTGTGTTCTTTCTTGTTATCAAAACATGTTTTGCTTTTAACGTTGCTTTTGTGAACAATGGTTGTATTTTGCTGTTGATGAATTCAGCTGATTGTGTCTGCCTGCCGCATCCCTCAAGCTCAGAAAGAGCTCTTCTCTTGTGGTTTGTTTTCACTTATGGCTGACTTGTATCTTACTACCTATCCCAAATGTTTTTATAGGTGATCATCTGTAATACAGGCTGGCTGGATGATGGTCTGAAGACATTGTTTAAGCACACATAGTAGGAGTTGGTGGGTAAAGCCAGCCTTTTTCCTACAGGCAACCCTTTTGCTAAAACATTAGCAGAATTTGGTAGTACAGAGAAAAAGAGAAAGAAGTTAACTTTGGCTGAGTTGACTGCAGATCATATCTCAGGTGTATTGGCTGGTTTTATTTAAAAAAAAGAAAAAAAACAACTTTAAAAATAATTTAAAATCTATTCAGGTTAGGGTTTTACTTCTATATGTTTTGAAAAGCACAGTCCCGGCTCTTCTCCTGGGCCAAGATGGAGGAATGGTTTGTTTTATGAATTTACGAGTCTTGTGTTTTCATGCCTCAAACTCCACAAAATATGGAAAAATGTGATTTTTGAAACCTACAGGAGTAACTAGTTGTATGTTCTTTTCACATCATCTACTTACAGAAGGGTTTGAGCTTTTTAATACAGTGTAATGTCTAATGTGTCTAAAAACCTGGCAAACAAAGCTGTTTGTAATTTGGAATTCATAACTTTGTGTTAATGATGCAAATTGAACTCCTTACTGTTCCAGGAGATTGCAATAGCTCTTGTGAGTAGGGAGATAGCTCTGATTTCCCCAAAGCACAGTCCACATGAGAAGCACATGGTGATCTGTTGTAATGCTCCCGTCTGAAGAGTCTGTTGCATAAACAGAGAAAAAGTAATTCCATCTGCTTCCTCCAGAAGAAATCTCTACTGAAAATGCTAATGAAGTAGCTATCAAGCAATGGCAAGGTGATATTAACAGCAGTGTGTCAGGAACTTGTGATTTCAAACTACAGATAAAGCTGAAGTATCAGCACTGAAGTACAACATTTGCATGTTAAGCATGCAGAAAGCATTCCCGTAGGAAAAGAGGGTTACCTTTCAAGAAAAGGAACAGCAAACTAAACAGGTCAGATCATTTGTAACAGTTAACTATGTTTGCCTCTCATGAATTTCAGAATAAATAAATTGAACTACTTTGGATGCACTTAGTTGTCTTGTCTCAGCTCAAGCATGCATCTTACCATCTTAAATTAGAACCTTTTCTGTTGTTATAAATAAGTAGAATTCATGTTGAAGTGCTCAGACTGGATACACGTGTATTGGAAAACTAGATTGCTTGTTTAGAAAGATTATTTCTCTTCTTAGATGGTGCTTTGCACTCTATTGGTCATATTAGTTTATAAGGATGGGTGGGCATGTGCCCTTTATATGGCATGAAATCTGCTCTTT